CCAGTGGCGTAGCCAGGATCGTCTCAATGGGGGGGGGGGGTTTCCAGTTTTTACCCGGGGACAAACTTTCCATTTGCACCCGCCCCTCAAACTTTCGATTATATATACCGAGGGGTCTATGGGGGGGGGGTTATGACCCCCCCTCACCCCCCCCCCCCTGCCTACGCCACTGCTAAAGCCAATTATGATAAGACGATGTCTTTGTTTATTGTGAATGGCCTTGTTCTGGATTCTTTTGCAGTTGTATACTTACGGTTTACAACATTTTTATTACTGCCACACCATGCTTGAAGCAAACCCTTTACACTGTTTTCATCAATAGTAGCCACTACATCACAGTGGGCGATGAAATGTATTGATAACATCTAGAAGCAAATCACATTCGACAATAATTCTGCATGGCTGTGGTTTACAATTAGCACTACTAGTACTAGATGTAACAGTGCTTTCTTCTGTCTGTAAAAACTGTGTCTTACATTGTCGCAGTTTCTTAGTAAATGTGCATATTACATCTGCACCAGTGCTTGTCTGAATGGTGCTAGATTGAGTAGAGGTAGCTTCAATCAGTTGCATTCGGACGTTCCCTTGCTTTAGTAAATTAGTTAGATGTTTGTGTGTATCTATTTTTAGCGAGTGTTTTGTTCTACCCATTATCGAAAGAGAAACAAATTAAATCGTCTCACTGCTTATGATAATTCACACAAACTAATCTAAACTGTTAATAGTATATTTAATTGAAATAAGTATATGTTAAAATAATGTAAGTATTTCACAGAAGCTTAGAGAAACAAAACTAGATCAAACTTAGCAACGCGCTGAAACTAAGGGAATGTTTACTCCCGAAGCGAAACGACCAATCGCTGACTAGCTTCCGCCGTTGAACGCCAATGAAAAAATTGGGGTAAAAAATTTGCATACCGGAAAAACCCGACTGAGTAAAATAAACAACTTTATGACGTAGAAAAATAATCACATTAAAATAAGTATTTTGATTGGTCCTTTAATTTTAGAACAAATAAAGAAAGGAGGTCACGGCCTTTCCATTGATATGAAACACATTAGGTTTCCGTGAAGCCTAATAGTACTTTTCTAGGTCGAAAAATGGCTATTTTTACCAAAAAATTAACAAATGACCCTGTACACACTACTTTGAACCCGGTTTTTTATAAATAAATACTGTTTTTAGGGTCATAACAATGTCATTTTTAGATTCAACGATGGTTATTCTGTATAGAACAAGTAAAAGTGGGAAATCGATGATTTAGTGGATTTATGACGAAAAGTACACCCGCCCATGTCCTTAAAAGAGGTAATAGTGGTATTGGAGGTAGGGCACAATGGTTACTTTTATGCCAATAGTGGTCATGCCATTCATTGGTCTGGAGCCAATATGTCGGGAGTAATTTTGTCAAAAGCCAATATGTCGTGAGCCCAATTGCCGGGAGCCAATATGTCCTGAGCCTATTTGTCAGGGGTTAATATGTCGGGAGTCCATTTGTCGGGAGCCTAAATATCGGGAGCCTATATGTCGCAAGTCAATATGACGGGAGCCTATTTGAGGGGAGCCAATAAGTCGGGGCCCTTTTGACGGGGCTATTTTGACTGGGTCGTTTTGTCGGGGGTCGATTTGACGGGGTCAAATTAACGGGGCCGTTTTGACGGGGCTGATTTGTCCCGGGCCGTTTTGACAGGGCACCGTTATATATATATATATATATATATATATATATATATATATATATATATATATATATATATATATATATATATATATATATATATATATATAAAGTAACTGAATACAGGAGGTCACTCAAAAATCAAATCTAATAAGAGAATTTCGTCTACCTAACTGAAACGTCTCTACTCAATTGCTTTTTAAAAAAATATATTTGTAACACTCACTCAGTGGGGATGCTTTTTACCCACTGAGGTGTTGTGTTAAAACGGGCTGACCCTGAGATTTAGGACACACTGAAACGACGCTGTTGTCAAACTACTGGCTTTATTCACATTACATCGAGCCATAAACGCCGATGTAGAACAACAGTAGAAAACAGTGTAGAAAACAGTAGATCACAGCAAAACAAAAACCAAAGAAGTCGACGATGACGACGACGATTAATTGTAGCCCTTCATTAGGTCTACATTGTCATAATCATAGGTACCGTCACCCTCCGTGTCCAAATACAGCAGCCTTGGGTCTGACTGACACGGCTAGGCACGAACTACCCATAATCCCATGACATGTGACACAAAATCGCTCACCGAAGAGCATGCAAAACAAGTTATTAAAAAGTCTAGTGACAATTTAAGCGCAATTTCCTTATGTTATCCATAACAATTTTAAATCGAGATAAATCATATATTCAGCAATTAAATAATGCAACACAAGTAGTTTTAATAATTCAAAACAAAATAGAAAAAATATTTATTAACGAGATTTAAAAATATTGTTCTAAATTATGGCAGGAATAACCTATATCAACGGTAGGCCTACACGATGCTCAGTTTAAACGTTACCTCTCACTAGCGACTGCCACAGCCGGTGTGCTTGGTTTGGAACTTCACCGCTTCGCTTCTTCTAGTGGTGAGACGCGAAGGGATGAGGGTGGTAGAAATATTTGTATATTCTTAGTAATCTTAGCCAATACAAATTAGAAGAAATTAATTTTTTGTGACCGAACGAAAGGATATTTTTGAAAACCTTCTTCGGCAATATTGTTCTAAATTATGGCAGGAATCGATTGGTAAATGTTTCAAGTCGCTAAAAGGTCTGGTTGCCGAGATATGGGCCAAAAACTGCATTCTTTCGAGGTTTTTTTGGCTTTTCCGGGAAATCCAGGAAGGAATTCCGGGAATTTTTTTGGCCTATGTTCATCCTCGGAACTTGCTTAACATATTTGCTTTTGGAACTAGTCCTCGATATTGCTTCGTTGAGGAGGAGATACGACTTAAAGCTGCGGACACAATTCCATCCATTCATACATCCAGAAATGACGAGTTAATAATCGCAATCCCTCAGTATGGAAATTGCGCTAAAAACTACATAAACAGTTGCGGTCCCAAAGGGGCCGCAATCCAGTGAATTACAACTTTATTACTTATCCCCCCCCCTTGGCTGGTAACCATATGTGTTACATATTAAAATGTTGTTTTACGTTGTTTTTTTTAAACGGCGTCCTTTGCCTACTGTTGTTACAGTTATTAAATAAATAAATTAAAGTTAAGTAAAGTTATAGTGTTCCCTAAGAAATTAAGTATTACTACCAGTTAACGGAAAATCGTTCAAAAGTTGATAGATACATGCCAATACAAACTTATTCCCTTTCGACACGTCCTCAATTAGATCCAGACAGTTGGAGCACCGTTATGTGTGGTCAAATGTAAAAAAAAATTAAAATCTCATGCTTACAATGTAGGAAGGATGTGAAAAAATACACGTATCAAAAGCAATCATAAGCCTACGGTTCGTATTTTTACTAGGAACAAAATTCGGTCAAATGTCAAAATGTGTATAAAAGTGTACAGTGTGTCTCTACTGATAGCTTACTGATATAGACCTAAACACATACATACAAATTCTTCCACTTAACTAAACAGTACTTTAAGTTATGTTAAATTACAAACACAAACAGACTGACATACCGACTATATTGCAAAACTAAGTTTTTCCCCATTCAGGAAGGTGTGAAACATCAAGAATGGTCAAAATCTGGATTTTTTGGACTTTATAAATAAATGAATAAAAGTATTGAGAAGGGTTCGGTGAATATGCATGTAAGCTGGTAGGGTTCGGTACTTCCAAAAAGGTTAAGAACCCCTGCTTTAGAGTGTAGTTTAAGGAAAGCTTATTTGGTCTACATTTGCTCGTGTCGTTAGAACCCCTGCTTTAGAGTGTAGTTTGTAGAAGCTGAAAGCATATTTGGTCTACACTTGCTCGTGTCGTTAGAACCCCTGCTTTAGAGTGTAGTTTGTAGAAGCTGAAAGCATATTTGGTCTACACTTGCTCGTGTCGTTAGAACCCCTGCTTTAGAGTGTAGTTTGTAGAAGCTGAAAGCATATGAATATGTGGTCTACTTTTGCTCGTGTCTTTAGAACGATTTCGATAATAGTGTACCAGAGTTTTAAATTATCAGTTCGGTTGAACAAAGCAACAAAACAACAGCAGTCATCGTGTTGTACCATTTTTATACATCGTTTAGTGGGTCTAGTGGTTACCCTATAGGAAAATTGCAGTATTAGGACTTGTTATGAAACAAGCAATAAAAAAAATGATTTATTCAGTACAACATACTAGTTTTCTTAGCTCTTAAATTTTCGGAAACAGTATCGCCTTCCACCCACCCGCTCCGACCGTATGATATTTTACTGATCGGATAGCGATCTAAGCAGAGTTTCATCCAGGCATCGACTTCCCCCAATCGAATGTGACCAGTGTTTCTTCCCGACTTTTTTCTCGGGAGGGGGGGGGCGGACACTATAAGTAAAAATGTATGTTTACTATATAAAATCAATCTCGTACGGAAGGGCTAGAGCCCCCCCCCCCCCCCCAAGAGATGCCTGGAAGAAACTCTTACTGACATAATTTAAGGATATACCTTATAAGAGGCTTAATGAAATTTAAACCCATGTGAATTCACAATGAACCCTCGGCCGTGTCGGGATTTTTCTCCCGCAGACAAGAAATCAAGAGCAACGATGTACAGCATTAGCATATTATCGTATTATAACGAGCATTTTAAAAAATACTTTGATCAATATAAGTTTTTAATAATTACAACAAGCGTGATCAATAGGCTATAGATCTAGAACCCAACTAAAAACGTGAAACAACAAAAAGTCTTACAAACTGCGTCTTTTCTTTAGCCGTAATTCTGCAGGTATGTATCACATTTTTACCGTCTCGACATTTCGCATTTTACAAAGACCACAGTTAATGGGGTGTTTTACTTGTATAAACGTTACAGAATATTACGTAACAAACAACACAAGTGGAATCAGCATATTATATGTTTAATGCTCCATATATTTGAAAATAAAATCCTGTACATTCAACATTAATATCAATATCAGTTCATGTAATAATAATTAATAAAACAACTTTTCACATGCAAAATTGTTAGTTTCCATTTGGCATTTTGACCTTTCAGTTACGTTGTTGATACGCTTCCAAATTACTAGCATCCTCTTCTTTCATTTATTTTTACAGTCGCCGTTTAACAACAATATAGTTGTATGTTTCCATAGTGTTTATATTTAATAAGTTGTACAGGTATGTTTCAAGTTATACTTTTATGCTGGGCAATTATTAAAAGCCTTGAAAGCATCTTGCAAGTAGAAAAATGGTAATGCTGGCTTGAGTGTATTGGATAAATCGTTAGGGGAAGCTACTCTTAAGAACAAAGCATTTTCATCCAGCAGATACCGATATCTGAGAAAAAAAGGAATGTAATGTAAAATTTAGAAATAGAAATGAAAATCTGTGAATAAATGTGGGAGCCGTTTGACACGGCCGAGTTGTCAAGAATCCTTTCATCATTAATCATTATTTTTGACATGAATAAAAATAATGTTTTTTTTTTACAGATTGTACTAGATCTAGATCTAATAGTAATAGTAAGCAGCCGTAAAAACAACAACAAAAAAAATTGTTAAAAAACAATTACAGTGATGCAACTGTATTAATAACTCACTGTAAGGTTAGGCAAGGGGTAGGCTCCAGAAAAAAAACCCACCCTAATATAATTAATAAGCTTTAGTTATTTATGTGTGTGTATCTAAGCTAGAGTACTTAAAGTTTAAAGGAAAATAATATTTAAATGCATCAGGGGCTCTTCTAAAAGTACTCAGTGTAAAGAAGTAAGGTTGCCAAGGCGATGGCTGCAATCTTAAAAAATTAAAAGAAAAAAAAAAAACAGCACTTTGTGGAGGTCCCAAGGTTCAAAATTTAACATAAGGTCTATATATCTAGTTCATATAATATATATCTAGGCCTATATGACTATATTTATATTGATCATGTCTTATATAATCATTGATCATTCTTTTACTCACTCAACTAGTCAGCTGGCTAGTTTTTGTAACAGGAAACACTCTATTTTTTTTTCTTCAAAATTTGGTATGGCTGATATACCATTACAATTAATGATAATGCTAAATTGAATAGTATTTCACCATGCAAAATTCAGGAAAAAAAAAACCAGTTCTTGTCTAATTCAATTTAGTGAACGATTATTGAAGGCAACCATATCCATAGCATATCTCACTCTTTAAAATGAACCTAAACGGCAAAGTGCTCACGCTATAGCCCGGGGTGCCAAATTGCACCGTGCTGGGGCATTCCCCCTTAAAAAAAATTAAAGTATTATTCCCCAGAAACCTCCACAGGTGTACTATCAACCTGTGATAATAGCTAGTAACACAACCTGTTATGAAAAACAACCAATAAATGAAAGAAGGTATTCCTACCAAAAATATTTTAGTACTCTATAGTGCATTTGTTTTTATTTGAGATGGATGTAAACATTTTAAAATATTCATTTAAGTTTTGAAATTTTTGTTTTAGAATAAAATATTTAATAGCAACCAATTCAATTCAATAAAGAATATGAAATAAAATAGACAAAGGTTATTACATTTTGTGTAACTATTTGTATAACTTGTGACCCCAGTAACATATCTACAATTTGTGAATCTGAACTGGTTTTTAGTCATCATGTTTACTTCTCACCAAATATTTTAAAGAGAAATTTGAAATATGATGTCAAAGTTTGAGCCTCTGAGACTTACATTTCCTGTCCTGTCCGGTCCACCAACTTCTCTACATCATCAGACAGCATGTAGATGCTTTCATTCTTGAACATGTAGAGGGGGCAGGAACAAGAACTTGGTGTAATCAGCGTGATTACTTCCCCTGGGAACAGTCTATGTGTACCTGTCAAGGGTTAGGGCTAATCATCATTAACATCACAAGCTAGGGCTAGACATCATTAACATTAAAGGTTAGAGATTATTAACATCAAGGGCTAGGGCTAATCATCATTAATATCAAGGGTTAGGGCTAATCATAATTAACATCACAAGCTAGGGCTAGACATCATTGACATTAAAGGTTAGAGATTATTAACATCAAGGGCTAGGGCTAATCATTATTAACATCACAGGCTAGGGCTAGACATAATTAACATTAAAGGTTAGAGATTATTAACATCAAGGGCTAGGGCTAATCATCATTAACATCAAGGGTTAGGGGTAGACATTATTAACATCAAGGGTTAGGGCTAATCATAATTAACATCAAGGGTTAGGGCTAGACATTAACATCAAGGGTTAGGGCTAGACATTAACATCAAGGGTTAGGGCTAGACATTAACATCAAGGGTTAGGGCTAGACATTAACATCAAGGGTTAGGGCTAGACATTAACATCAAGGGTTAGGGCTAGACATTAACATCAAGGGTTAGGGCTAATCATAATTAACATCAAGGGTTAGGGCTAGACATTAACATCAAGGTTATGGCTTGTCATGGACCCACCTGTTTTATTGAGGGATATAACTTGCGCTTTGATCTCAGCCCACTGAAGTTGATCAGCAACATCAACAAACTTGACCTGATAGACTACAAGAAAATAAAAATAAAAATTCATAAAAAAACGTTTTAATAACAAGCTTTTATGTAATAATGCACTAAAAAGTAGAAAATAAATTATATACTACTATTTAAATAACTATAAAGAAAAGAGTGGGTCACTTTAGTACAGTGGTTCCCAAACTTTTTCGAGTGGCGACCCCCTTTTATAAAAAGTAAGTGACCCGCGACCCCCATAGAATTAAAAAGTCGAAATTAGTGAGGAAATTAATAACCACTAAAATGTGATTTCTAGTAGACTTTCAATGTTAATTATTCTTGATAACTGTTTTAATGCAAATGTTGAAATTGAAGGCCTATCACTGGCCTCAACATTCGCGGTTGAGTTTTTGTTAATGCCAACCTCATATCATTCTTAGCATCTAATTCATTTCTTTGTTTGTTTTTTTTTTAATTGGAGAAGGCACAAAAGGAACTAAAACTCAAAAGGTAATCAATTTCACGTTTGGGTATGAATGGTGCATACTACATCAAAATTGTTTAAGCAGTTTTTCATTCAACACGATACTTGACGTGGAATCATTTCGCAAATTTAAAAATTCATCTTGTAATTTACCGGGAATGCTGGCAACATCAAGGGAAGCAGAGGATGAATAATGTGTCCATGCAGATTCTTCTTCTTTCAGCTCAGGGAAATAACGCCGCAGTTTGTTTTCAAGAAATTCAAGATGCCCAGAATCCTCTTTCAAATTTTTATTTATCTCACAATCAGATTCATTTAACACACTGCAGAGTTACCTAAACATGGCAATATTTCTAATATTTATTTTTTGTTCGCCAATTTTGCAGCTTTGATAAAAATGCCAAGAGATTATCTTGAAAAGAAATAATTTTAGTTCATGTGACACATATGGTCACCAGCCAGGGGAGGGAAAAATTTGAGTTGCAGCCCCTGTGGGGAGTGGCCCTGTTGACGTAGTTGTTTTTTTCATGCTCTTGTGAGCGATGTTACCTGTGTCCCATGTCATGTGACATGGGACTGTGGGTAGTTTTATGCCTAGCCGTGCCAGTCACACGCAAGGCTGCTGTCTGTGGACACGGTGACCAAGATGTAGACCTAATGAAGGTAGTGTAGTTACATAAATTATGTTTGTTAAAATACTTATTTGTGTATTCCTGCTAGTGCTGCATGTGCACACTAGTTAGGTTGAGTAATTATATAAGTATTTATTTGTAGTACTACTTATTGGTACTTGTTGGCAGTACTGTGTACTGGCCAAAACATATTTTATTGTACCCGTGTATATTGTAGCCTACACGTGGTGTTGTCAGGAATGTAACTTTTTCTTTACTTTTGTTTAAGGGCTACAGTTTTCTTTTTGGTTACAGTTTGGTTTTTTTGTTTTTGGTCAGTAGTACGACGAGAGAAAAAATTCTGAAGACAGTGTTCTGCATCGCAGTCATGGCTCGATGCTGTGAATAAAGGAGTACTAGACAACAACTGTCGGTGTCAGTGTGTTCTTAATCTCAGGGTCAGCCAATCTTAACCACAACACCTCAGTGGGTAAAAGCATCCCCACTGAGTGAGGGTTACAGTTACATTCATTTTCAAGTTAAGCTTATGTTGATGTTCGAATATATCTGCTAGGTTTGCTACTCTCTCCAACCACTCTATTTCGTTAAAGTATATCAAAAGGTCTTGTTTCCCTTGAACTTTCAAGAACAACTTGATTTCATTTTTCAATTAAAAAACACGATTCACATTTCCTTTTGACAGCCAGCTTACAGTGTAAAAAAGCAGAACCTCTTGATCTTTATTCAAGTCTTTGCACAGTTCTTTAAACAGACTGACGTTTAGGGCTCCAGATTTAATATAATGTATGACTATTAGCAATGGGGTCAGGAGAGTCTTGCTGGTGAGGGTATACCAGTGAATCATGCATTGGATTCCCCTTGGTTAGGGAGCTAAATATTTTACTTTTTTTTTACATGCATGACGCACCATCCGTACAATATCACAAAATATCAACTCTTCTTTGCTATCATCCAAAGGAATATATTTCACAGACAACCAACTACGAACACGAACTTACATGTTTTGATTCATCAACTTGAAAAATCAAACGATGGTGAAAGTTTGATTTAATTTTAAATTAAAAACATCTGTGGATATGTCTTCTATATCCAGCTGAATAGTATTATTAGACAGATATATTTTGTTTCATCTTTACTGTACTGGAATCACCAAGAATTAATTCTACCATCTTCAACATGCAGGGTTTGATGAGAATTTCTCCTATTGTGTAAGGTTTTTTGCTTGGTAATTTCTAATGCAACTTCATATGATGCTTGCACTAATGCTGCAGTTTCTTGGTAAAAACTTCCTGTTCGATCCAGACTGTGACGTTTGCAACTAGCTTCAGGACGACGAAAGAACTCAAAATGCTGTTTTTGCTTTGAAAGCTTGATAGACTCATGACTGAGAACAACTTTGCACAGTACACACTGATTATTTATTCCATTTCCATTGTGATTTTAGTAAAGCCGAATTTCAGATATTCTTCTATGCTTTTTTTAAATTGCTAGGGTTTAGTCAACCAGTTGCGACCCCCCAGAAAGCCCTTCGTGACCCCTAGGGTGGTCGCGACCCCCAGTTTGAGAACCAAAGCTTTAGTACCTATTGGATACCTTTACTAATATTTGAGAAGAGACCCACACTTTTCTTCATAGTTATTTAAATAGTAGTGTATAATTTATTTTCTACTTTTTAGTGCATTATTACATAAAAGCTTGTTATTAAAACGCTTTTTTATGAATTTTTTTTTCCAGCACTTTACATGTTTTATTTACAATAGAGTTACATGACTAAAAACCATGGCGCGTCTATTGAACATGATGACACGATTTTGCCGTGATGACGAGTTTTATTGCCTTTCTCTTCCCTGTTTTATCGTAGTCCCCCTCGCTCCAAGTGGGACGTGATGACATGTGTGGTCAGAACTTCCTACTAATTCGGTCCAAATTTTAATTAATTCATAAAAAATTAATTAGGCGACCATGTTAGTCAAATTGACTGTCACGATGCATCGTCTTCATGTCTTGACCCACATACCAACTACGAACCGTATCTGTCAGCTACAAGTGCCTGCAATTTCGCTCGGCCGTTTCGATCTAGACAGACAAACTGACAACAGACAGAGGATGCAAGTTAAATAAAAGCTTGTAAAAAGCAGCCCCAAGTCATTAAGTTGGATGTGCACCAAGTGCTGTATGTATGTTCAGATGTGTTAGAAAGTAACTTACCAATGGGAGATTCACAGACTAGTTGCTTGGCATCATGTAAGCTGATCTCATCAATAGCACTAGGCTTACAGGTGCTACACATCCCTGCAGGGGAACCAATCATTTCAACATTCACTTGCATATAAGAGTTTTTTGTCATATTAAACAGATCTACATTTGGACAAACAGTTCAAATGCTTGAGTCACAATAGGAGCCTTCATAATTTTTGGACAAATTATCAAACTGGTATTGAAGTTCTCTTTGAAGTAAATTTTATTACCTGAATAACATTTACATTCTCCTCTGTTGGTGTTAGAAAAATCAGCACAAAAAACTTTTAGGCTTTCCTGGCTGGCTGGTGGCATGTACTCCAGACTGCATGATGGCTCTAGAGAAATATAAGATACATCATGGCTCTAGAGAAATATAAGATACATCATGGCTCTAGAGAAATATAAGATACATCATGGCTCTAGAGAAATATAAGATACATCATGGCTCTAGAGAAATATAAGATACATCATGGTTCTAGAGAAATATAAGATACATCATGGCTCTAGAGAAATATAAGATACATCATGGCTCTAGAGAAATATAAGATACATCATGGTTCTAGAGAAATATCAGATACATCATGGCTCTAGAGAAATATAAGATACATCATGGCTCTAGAGAAATATAAGATACATCATGGTTCTAGAGAAATATCAGATACATCATGGCTCTAGAGAAATATAAGATACATCATGGCTCTAGAGAAATATAAGATACATCATGGCTCTAGAGAAATATAAGATACATCATGGCTCTAGAGAAATATAAGATACATCATGGTTCTAGAGAAATATAAGATACATCATGGCTCTAGAGAAATATAAGACACATCATGGCTCTAGAGAAATATAAGATACATCATGGCTCTAGAGAAATATAAGATACATCATGGTTCTAGAGAAATATAAGATACATCATGGTTCTAGAGAAATATAAGATACATCATGGCTCTAGAGAAATATCAGATACATCATGGCTCTAGAGAAATATAAGATACATCATGGCTCTAGAGAAATATAAGATACATCATGGCTCTAGAGAAATATAAGATACATCATGGCTCTAGAGAAATATAAGATACATCATGGCTCTAGAGAAATATAAGATACATCATGGTTCTAGAGAAATATCAGATACATCATGGCTCTAGAGAAATATAAGATACATCATGGTTCTAGAGAAATATAAGACATATCATGGCTCTAGAGAAATATAAGATACATCATGGCTCTAGAGAAATATAAGATACATCATGGTTCTAGAGAAATATAAGATACATCATGGTTCTAGAGAAATATAAGATACATCATGGTTCTAGAGAAATATAAGATACATCATGGTTCTAGAGAAATATAAGATACATCATGGTTCTAGAGAAATATAAGATACATCATGGTTCTAGAGAAATATAAGATACATCATGGTTCTAGAGAAATATAAGATACATCATGGCTCTAGAGAAATATAAGATACATCATGGCTCTAGAGAAATATAAGATACATCATGGTTCTAGAGAAATATCAGATACATCATGGCTCTAGAGAAATATCAGATACATCATGGTTCTAGAGAAATATAAGATACATCATGGCTCTAGAGAAATATCAGATACATCATGGCTCTAGAGAAATATAAGATACATCATGGCTCTAGAGAAATATAAGATACATCATGGTTCTAGAGAAATATAAGATACATCATGGCTCTAGAGAAATATCAGATACATCATGGCTCTAGAGAAATATAAGATACATCATGGCTCTAGAGAAATATCAGATACATCATGGCTCTAGAGAAATATCAGATACATCATGGCTCTAGAGAAATATAAGATACATCATGGCTCTAGAGAAATATAAGATACATCATGGTTCTAGAGAAATATAAGATACATCATGGCTCTAGAGAAATATCAGATACATCATGGCTCTAGAGAAATATAAGATACATCATGGCTCTAGAGAAATATAAGATACATCATGGCTCTAGAGAAATATAAGATACATCATGGCTCTAGAGAAATATAAGACATATCATGGCTCTAGAGAAATATAAGATACATTATGGCTCTAGAGAAATATAAGATACATCATGGTTCTAGAGAAATATAAGATACATCATGGCTCTAGAGAAATATAAGATACATCATGGCTCTAGAGAAATGTAAGATACATCATGGTTGTATAGAAATATAAGATATATCATCATTATGCTGTATAGCACTATTTAAAACCTAGTCACCATAGTACTCTTGGCAGAGCCCAGGGCACACTGGGTCACATGACTGCTAGGGTTAGGCGCATCTGGTTTGATTTAGTCAATGATTCTAGTAAACCACTGTTTACATAGTGTTTAGTTCTATTTAAAACAAACAGTAGCATAGCGCTGGGTGCATTGGGACATATGATGCGCCTACTGCCGTTTGACTATTGAATCAAGTAGTGCACCTGACAACTTCCAAAAGTTTCATGGCAATCCGTTGAATGGTGAAGCAATGCAGACACACAGACAGACACACATACTATATATACACAAACATATATACACACACACACATATACACACACATACATATATATATACACACTTACATATATATACACATACATATATATACACATACATATATATACACATACATATATATAGCCTACACATACATATATATAAATACACACACACATATATACACACACATGATAGTTCTGTAGAGATTTAATTTTTAAGATACATCATTGTTCTGTAGAGACAGTTTACAAATATAAGACCTTGCATCTGATATGATATCACATAAGAAAACTGCAATATAATTTAAATACATTGAGGGAAAACTGCATACAATAGTTCAGGTCAATTAGTTTCTTCATGAGGGAAAACTGCATACAATAGTTCAGGTCAATTAGTTTCTTCATGAGGGAAAACTGCATACAATAGTTCAGGTCAATTAGTTTCTTCATGAGGGAAAACTGCATACAATAGTTCAGGTCAATTAGTTTCTTCATGAGGGAAAACTGCATACAATAGTTCAGGTCAATTAGTTTCTTCATTTTAGTACAAGCGATGCATGAAGCCACACTCTCCCAATCTGCCCCCACACCTCCCCCTTACCCACCTTGCCTCCCTGCCTCAGTGATATGAACTGTGGCTGGAATCTGACGTTCAGCTTCCTCCTCATCGACTACACGAAAACCAAAACATGTTGGAACTTTGTTTGATATCTTCAAGAGGAACAAATATTGGGAAATTAGCACAAATTAATGGAATTTTTTATTTGGAGAAATTATTTGTATATATTATTTCTCCTTATTTCTAAATAAAATGAAACTTTGTGCCCAACCTTGGAGAACTGGACAAAAATACTTTCTCTACTTGTCAAGTACTGTACGCTTAGAACACCAGCAACTGACTGGATCTAAAGAAAGAAATTTACAGTTAGTAGTCTCAGACATTTGCAGAACTACAGTAACAGCAAGACATATAGGATGTATTTGAAGACCTACATTTTAAAATTTGCAGTAGGCTACAACCACATATATTCCCAGGATTAAATTTCAATTTAATAATAAAGCAGGAATGATCTCCCCTAAACTTTCTCATATCCCCTGCAATCTAGCTATAGAGTGACAAAACTGCTCACTTAAAAAATAAACCAGGAGTGATCTCCCCTAAACTTTTAATATTCTTATATAACACTACGGGGATGGCACCACGGAATATAGACACTATTTTTAATCCATTTTAATTACTTAAACTTTATAAAATAGAATCTCATAGAAAAAAAGAATTGCGCACCAAGTAAATGGCAAACAATAAGTGTATAATAGTGTGGAATATTATTAGTACATTATCAATTTATTTAGTTTTTTTGAGAAATAAGAAATGGCGTAAATTTACTACTTCCGGTCAATGGAAATTACTCAAAATTTGAAAGAAGGCAGAAAATTAAATCTTTTACTTATATGTGACATTTCATTTATCAAAACAGTACTCAAGTTTAAGGCTTTTGAAAAACTAAAGTAGAAAAATTCCCACTTAACTACAAATTTGATATAATACATATGTAATTTCATCAACCTAGCTGTAACGGTATTGTGTTCACAGACATACACACAGACAGAATTGCTAAACCCAGTTTGCCGACTCGAATGCACATAAAACGACAAAATTTTGATAAATTCGGATTTATAATTTTTGCCCAAATAAAATAAGTCCCCTTTACTCCGTATGTAGTGAAGTACTGAGGTGTAAAATGGTGAAAACTGTCAAAATTTCATGTGATTTTTTATTACAATTTTTCTTCTACTTTTATACTCTCTGTAGGCCTAAACGAGAAAGTAAAAAAAAAAAAAAACACAATAAAAGTTCTTAGAATTTGCTGCTTTAACCCTTTGAGCCCGCCAGGCCGGTAAACCGGCTTCAACATTAGGCATATATGTCCAAAAAGCCGGTATTCCGGCCCTTGATCTAGCGTCATATTCCTAGCGGCTGGTATACCGTCTAATTAAATATAATTAGCAGAAGACTGACTAAAACTGCGTGTATGTCTTTTTAGTGCGTGATTATGATTCTTAAAATAGATTTTAGGAAAAGTGAAAGTGTTTACATTTTGTAGCAATGCCGCCGAAACGAAAAGCTGAGCCACAGCCATCGACTTCAGCATATAAAGTTGGTGCAAAAGATGAAGCAAAAGACCGAAATATCAACAAAAGAAGTAGAATGACTGCATCTCAGGCAATACAACTACTTATTGATTCTGATGAAGAAGATAATATTGTTGGTCTATATTATGATGATAGTGACGTTGAATTTGAGACTGAACTCAGTGACATTGATATTGTCAGTGACAATGAAACTGTTCAAGTACGTTATGATGCACGTGGTGCCAAGGACAAAGACTTGCCGAAACGAAAAAAAACTGTTTACTGGTGCAAAACATGCAAAGTTTTTCTTTGCATCGAGTCCGGCAGTGATAACTGTTTTGAAAGTTATCACACAAAAGTGGACTTCTGGCAATGAATTGGTATGGCCAGGTATCAATAATAACAAAACAATTACTAAATGTAAATTGGTATCTTCTATGTTCTATCAAAACAATAATCACGTGTTAGTTTTATATACATTGTTCTGTTCATACATTGTAAACAAATAAAGAATTTCAGAATCTTGCTGCTTTGATGTTTGATCCTGAGTCTGGATATCAAATTTGGTCTGATTATCTCAAACGGTTCAAAAGTTATAGGCAAAGTTAGAAGCAGATAAGTGAAAATTGGTTTGGCCCTGGGAGCTCAGGAAATGGGAGAAATTAGGCCAGGGAGGCCAGGGCTCAAAGGGTTAAAAAATGAATATCAAATTGTCAAATTCTTATGGTGTCTTTGAGAAATCAAATAGTGTAAAGTATTACTTCCTGTCACAGGAAATGACAAAATTTGAAAGAGACCAGTACATAAGATCTTATACTTGAACCTATAAATCAAATTTCGTCTATAGTGCTCCATGGAGAGCCTTGGGCATGCTGTGTCAATTCCACCGCTGGTATCCATGGTGGTGTATAGCACAGGAACAGGGCACTACCCCCCCCCCCCCCCGGAGTAATTACCCCTCCTGTACGACCAATCAATGGACCCAAGGTACTAAGATAGCAGCTGGAGAACCAAACCAATCCACACCCTACTGCCATAGCGCCATCCTCCAAATTTTGTTTTATCTCTGAAACTTCTCCAGGAGGATTCTCAACAAAGTTCCATGGCAGTCAGATGAAAGGTGTCAGTAATACATACAAGAAAAATAGACCCACAGACATACTTGCATTATTTAGATAATAGGCCTTCAGATAGGGTTAAAGGTCATTCATAATCACTTATGTAGGGATGTTACTTCTGTGCCATCAAATGACATGCTGAACAGTGAACAGATACTGCACACACACACATCTACACTTCTGCTGAACAGATACTGCACACACACACACATCTACACTTCTGCTGAACAGTGAACAGATACTGCACACACACACATCTACACTTCTGCTGAACAGTGAACAGATACTGCACACACACACACATCTACACTTCTGCTGAACAGATACTGCACACACACACACATCTACACTTCTGCTGAACAGTGAACAGATACTGCACACACACACACATCTACACTTCTGCTGAACAGATACTGCACACACACACACACACATCTACACTTCTGCTGAACAGTGAACAGATACTGCACACACACACACACATCTACACTTCTGCTGAACAGTGAACAGATACTGCACACACACACACACATCTACACTTCTGCTGAACAGATACTGCACACACACACATCTACACTTCTGCTGAACAGTGAACAGATACTGCACACACACACACATCTACACTTCTGCTGAACAGATACTGCACACACACACACATCTACACTTCTGCTGAACAGTGAACAGATACTGCACACACACACACATCTACACTTCTGCTGAACAGTGAACAGATACTGCACACACACACATCTACACTTCTGCTGAACAGTGAACAGATACTGCACACACACACACATCTACACTTCTGCTGAACAGTGAACAGATACTGCACACACACACATCTACACTTCTGCTGAACAGATACTGCACACACACACACATCTACACTTCTGCTGAACAGTGAACAGATACTGCACACACACACACATCTACACTTCTGCTGAACAGTGAACAGATACTGCACACACACACACATCTACACTTCTGCTGAACAGATACTGCACACACACACACATCTACACTTCTGCTGAACAGTGAACAGATACTGCACACACACACACACATCTACACTTCTGCTGAACAGTGAACAGATACTGCACACACACACACACATCTACACTTCTGCTGAACAGTGAACAGATACTGCACACACACACATCTACACTTCTGCTGAACAGTGAACAGATACTGCACACACACACATCTACACTTCTGCTGAACAGATACTGCACACACACACACATCTACACTTCTGCTGAACAGTGAACAGATACTGCACACACACACACACATCTACACTTCTGCTGAACAGATACTGCACACACACACATCTACACTTCTGCTGAACAGTGAACAGATACTGCACACACACACATCTACACTTCTGCTGAACAGATACTGCACACACACACATCTACACTTCTGCTGAACAGTGAACAGATACTGCACACACACACATCTACACTTCTGCTGAACAGTGAACAGATACTGCACACACACACATCTACACTTCTGCTGAACAGTGAACAGATACTGCACACACACACACACATCTACACTTCTGCTCAACAGTGAACAGATACTGCACACACACACACACATCTACACTTCTGCTGAACAGGGAACAGATACTGCACACACACACATCTACACTTCTGCTGAACAGATACTGCACACACACACACACATCTACACTTCTGCTGAACAGTGAACAGATACTGCACACACACACACACACATCTACACTTCTGCTGAACAGATACTGCACACACACACATCTACACTTCTGCTGAACAGTGAACAGATACTGCACACACACACATCTACACTTCTGCTGAACAGATACTGCACACACACACATCTACACTTCTGCTGAACAGTGAACAGATACTGCACACACACACACACACATCTACACTTCTGCTGAACAGTGAACAGATACTGCACACACACACACATCTACACTTCTGCTGAACAGTGAACAGATACTGCACACACACACATCTACACTTCTGCTGAACAGTGAACAGATACTGCACACACACACATCTACACTTCTGCTGAACAGATACTGCACACACACACACATCTACACTTCTGCTGAACAGTGAACAGATACTGCACACACACACACACATCTACACTTCTGCTGAACAGTGAACAGATACTGCACACACACACATCTACACTTCTGCTGAACAGATACTGCACACACACACACATCTACACTTCTGCTGAACAGATACTGCACACACACACATCTACACTTCTGCTGAACAGATACTCCACACACACATCTACACTTCTGCTGAACAGTGAACAGATACTGCACACACACACACATCTACACTTCTGCTGAACAGATACTGCACACACACACACATCTACACTTCTGCTGAACAGTGAACAGATACTGCACACACACACACACATCTACACTTCTGCTGAACAGTGAACAGATACTGCACACACACACACATCTACACTTCTGCTGAACAGTGAACAGATACTGCACACACACACATCTACACTTCTGCTGAACAGATACTGCACACACACACACATCTACACTTCTGCTGAACAGATACTGCACACACACACATCTACACTTCTGCTGAACAGTGAACAGATACTGCACACACACACACATCTACACTTCTGCTGAACAGTGAACAGATACTGCACACACACACACACATCTACACTTCTGCTGAACAGTGAACAGATACTGCACACACACACATCTACACTTCTGCTGAACAGATACTGCACACACACACACATCTACACTTCTGCTGAACAGATACTGCACACACACACACATCTACACTTCTGCTGAACAGATACTGCACACACACACACATCTACACTTCTGCTGAACAGTGAACAGATACTGCACACACACACACATCTACACTTCTGCTGAACAGTGAACAGATACTGCACACACACACATCTACACTTCTGCTGAACAGGGAACAGATACTCCACACACACATCTACACTTCTGCTGAACAGTGAACAGATACTGCACACACACACACACACACACATCTACACTTCTGCTGAACAGATACTGCACACACACACACATCTACACTTCTGCTGAACAGATACTGCACACACACACACATCTACACTTCTGCTGAACAGATACTGCACACACACACACACATCTACACTTCTGCTGAACAGTGAACAGATACTGCACACACACACATCTACACTTCTGCTGAACAGATACTGCACACACACACATCTACACTTCTGCTGAACAGTGAACAGATACTGCACACACACACATCTACACTTCTGCTGAACAGGGAACAGATACTCCACACACACATCTACACTTCTGCTGAACAGTGAACAGATACTCCACACACACACACATCTACACTTCTGCTTGTCTTCAAATTTTGAGAATCTTAAAATCATATTTTATTCCCCCACCCCGCCCTTTAACATATATGTAAAAGCTAAGAAAAACAGACATAGAGGGTGAGGTAAAAGTTTAAACTCCATAAGCTTATGGATATTGTAAATGGATAAAAAATAATGCTAAAATATATTGTTTAAGCAATTGAATGTTTACAAACAACTTACACTGTTTAGGTCGGAGTTTACTGGTTTAAAACCTGTCAACATTTCAACTTCAACATTTAAATGGCCACTATCAGCTTGAGCAAGATGCCTAATGAAAAAAATTATTTGGACATCTTACAATGTTTAGTGGTGAAAGTAAAATGTGATGAAACAAGATTAGATTGAACATACCTGAGACAAACATGAATGCAATAAGATTTTTTGCTGGCAACAAAATTATGTGCAGCACGGTTTTGTCTTTCATTGATAATTTTAGCATCTTGCCTGGATAGGGGAGAAATGTTTGAACCATTAGAAAAATAGTGGATTCTTCTATGTGAGAAGTTCAATTGGACTGAATACTACAGATTGATAATGAGATGAGAGATTGAGAAGATAAATCTATTAATAAGTAATGAAATGAAAGATTGGGAAGATGAATCTATTAGTTCAGGGGTTCCCAACCCTGTGCCCGCAGGCGCCATGGCGCCAGCTAAACGATTTGTATATGCTCGCCTCTCACTATTCGACAGATACATAATTTTTTTTCATAAACATTATTTTAAAATATGATTTATTTTTATTCATTTGTTACAGTTTTAATTCTTTTTGACTGCCTAGGTCCTAGGTTTATTAAATATGTTTGATGCTTGTCCCAACTTGTCTAGCGGCGAGCCAGACTGCACTATTTACGTTTTGTAAATACATTTCTCTGTGTGTATGCAATTTGAAAAAAATGCCAAATAATTTTATTATTTGAAACATTTATATTTATTATTATTACATTATGACTATAAGAAAATAAATTATGGGAAAATGACAAGTTATGAAAGGAGTTTGTTGATTTAAAATAGATGGTGCCCGCCATCCTACCGATATTTTAGAATGTGCTCTAGAGTAAAAAAAGGTTGGGAACCCCTGTATTAGTTGTTGAAACACAAAGCTTCCAGTGTCACATCAACAAAATCTAAATGTGGTCTAATGTTGCATAAACCTTGGGTTAGCTCCAAATAATGAAAGCACAAGTAGGACTATCTAATGAAAACACATAGACACTTACATCTGTTTGTTTTGATAAGCAAATGCTCTTCTTCTTGTCATCTTGATGCGTGCACTGGGTCCAGACCAGGAGTGGCTGGTCAGCTGACGTTTCTTTCTTTTCTCTGGGCAGCCAATCTCACAGCTAGAGCACAGGGGATTGCTGTGTTCACAAGACAATCTTTGTTAAATCAAATCAATTCAATCATTGATAATTTGCTATTGAAAATATAACGACTACACCAGCAACTTCTGGACTACTTCAGATGTGATTGTGTGGTGTGGCTGTATGTGGGTGTGTAAACATAAAGTCATGCTCTAAGTAGCGTGGCTAGGTACATCTGTGGTGTGTCAATTTAATGTAATGTAGTGACTAAGTCATGATTCCTTAACAAGTGTAAAAAAGTTGAGCAAGAAAATGTGTACTTCTGGTCAAATAATTCCTTAACAAGTGTAAAAAAGTTGAGCAAGAAAATGTGTACTTCTGGTCAAATAATTCCTTAAGTGTAAAAAAGTTGAGCAAGAAAATGTGTACTTCTGGTCAAATAATTCCTTAACAAGTGTAAAAAAGTTGAGCAAGAAAATGTGTACTTCTGGTCAAATAATTCCTTAACAAGTGTAAAAAAGTTGAGCAAGAAAATGTGTACTTCTGGTCAAATCCCCAGCCAATGGTTGTTGGTTTGGTCTCTATTGACACATTCAAGTTGCAGTTTTTGTTTTTTTCTATTGGGATGTTGTACTCCACATTGACTTGCATTTGTCCAAGGCCTTGACCCATAGTACGCACATCTAGTCGACGTCCAACTGGAACCTGTCAGGTGAGAGGTCACATGATGTTTACACATTAAAGAAGTTGGACACATGACTTATGTTAAAGAAGTTGGACACATGACTTACATTAAAGAAGTTGGACACATGACTTACATTAAAGAAGTTGGACACATGACTTACATTAAAGAAGTTGGACACATGACTTACATTAAAGAACTTGGACACATGACTTACATTAAAGAACTTGGACACATGACTTACATTAGTTAAAGAACTTGGACACATGACTTACATTAAAGAACTTGGACACATGACTTACATTAAAGAACTTGGACACATGACTTACATTAAAGAAGTTGGACACATGACTTACATTAAAGAAGTTGGACACATGACATACTTTAGTTAAAAAAGTTGGACACATGACTTACATTAAAGAAGTTGGACCCATGACTTACATTAGTTAAAGAGGCTGGGCGTATTGCATTCTCCTCTGTAAATTTGAAAAAATGTTCAAAACCTTTCTTTGTTTTTTCTGATGAAATGTTGCAGTTGAGATCAATGGTCAGTGTGTCTCTCTTTAAACTGTACTTGGTCAAAGCTTGGATGGCCACTGTACTGTCCTGGGAAAAAAAATTTATCTATCTATAGTCTGTATAAATAAAAGTTTATCTATCTATAGTCTGTATAAAAAAATGTTTATATATAGTCTATAAAAAAAGTTTATCTATCTATAGTCTCTATAGTCTCTCTGGGGCACATAGAGGGCTGGTCTAATCAATTACTTGACCACACTTGGCACATGCACTTGTTTTTTATAGTTGAAGTAACTTGCATTTCCAATTGGATTACTTTCTTCTTTGATTACAGATGCACGTTATGGGTCAGGTAGTCATTTATATAAACAAAAACTTATTTTGAATCAACTTCAAATCACATGGAATAAAAGTTAATTGCACCATTTTTTGGGCTGGTCATTAACCCTTTACATTCCAAGTGCTGAATTTTTTTCCCCCTTGCAATGCCGCCTAGCAAGGGAAAAAACTGCTTCTTAGAATTATTAATTTAATTTAAAAATCCATGTGCATTTCAAAAGTAAAAGGAAATGTAATTCCCAGAAAAAAATTGATACAGATTATTGTCAAATATTTTACCATGCAATAAACATTTAAATAAAATAAACCAGGAGTAACCTCCCCTAAACTTTCTTGAATATTCTATTATAAACTACGGGGGATGGCAACTCGGTATATAGACAATATTTTTAATCCTTTTTAATTACTTAAACTTTTAAAAATAAAATGGAATCTCGTCGAAAAAAGAATTGCACACCAAGTGAGCGCCTAATAAAATGTTTATAATAGTGCGGAACATTATTAGTACTTTGTAAATTTACATGCGTTTTTTTGAGAAATCGGAAATAGCCTAAATTACTACTTCCGGTCAACGGAAGCTACTCAAAATTTTAAAAAGGGCAGAGAATTAGATCTTTTACTTATATGTAAAATTTCATTTATCTATCTGAAATAGTAGTCAAGTTTTAGGCTTTTGAAAAATTGAAAGTAGAAAAAAGTTTCACTTCCAGTTATCGGAAATCGCTGAAAAGTTTATCCGGATCTACAAATTTGATATAATACTTATATTTGAGATTTCCTCAACCTAGCTGTAATGGTATTCAAGTTATTGTATTTACAGATACACATACATACATATGTTTTTTCGACTCAGGGAGGTGTAAAATGTTGAGATTTGCAGAAATCTTTATATTTTTTTCTGCACGATTACAATACTTTATCTATACTTCTTATACGAGAAAGTAAAAAGCAGTATGAATCTTGAGAGTGAAAAAAAATGGCAAACACATAACAGGCGTTTTTGGGTGAATTGGGCTGTACAACACAAGACAAATCTTTAGGACTGTAAAGGGAGAACACAGAGTTAGATGGGTGAGCATCAAGTCAATTCACTAGATCATTAGTTACCATAGCTCCTATAAAAGCATCAAGTCAATTCACTAGATCATTAGTTACCATAGCTCCTATAAAAGCATCAAGTCAATTCACTAGATCATTAGTTACCATAGCTCCTATAAAAGCATCAAGTCAATTCACTAGATCATTAGTTACCATAGCTCCTATAAAAGCACCATTTTGATTTCTTTGACTGATCAGCCAATCAGCAATGGCATCAACATTGAGCAGACTTTCCTCTAGAAATACCAAGAGAGCATATGCTGTAGCCTCCACAGAGGACGCCCTAACACCAGGATGGTACCAGAATGGGCTGGTGGACTCGGCCCCCTCCACGCTGTCTGCCCAGTAGATATGACCTCCTACACAAAAGATTTGAAACAAGCAAATAAACATGTCCTTGTTTAGTCAAAACAAAATGTGTGTCAATGTTAACTTTGTGCTTTAGTGTCAAGGCTTTGTTTAGGATCAGCAACATGTTAACTTTGTGCTTTAGTGTCAAGGCTTTGTTTAGGATCAGCAACATGTTAACTTTGTGCTTTAGTGTCAAGGCTTTGTTTAGGATCAGCAACATGTTAACTTTGTGCTTTAGTGTCAAGGCTTTGTTTAGGATCAGCAACATGTTAACTTTGTGCTTTAGTGTCAAGGCTTTGTTTAGGATCAGCAACATGTTAACTTTGTGCTTTAGTGTCAAGGCTTTGTTTAGGATCAGCAACATGTTAACTTTGTGCTTTAGTGTCAAGGCTTTGTTTAGGATCAGCAACACTTTTCATGTGATAGCTGTTGTAGAGAAACAATGCAAATAGAAGGAAAAGCTAGAAATAAAATGATGAATAAATTGACCTTTGTCCTGATTGAAATGAAGTGTTATTTGAACCTACTTTGCTTATCAGTGCGTTTGATGTTGAAGAGTTTGAGCACAGCTGGTTTTGTCTTCTCATGGCCAGAGATGTGGAGGGCATAGCTCACTTTGGCCAGCACCATCGGCTGCTGGATCAGATCTACACAACTTTCTAGGTAGCTGGCCAGTTTGGCATTCAGATCAGAATACTACACCATTGGAAACAAAGGATTGTCACAAGTATTGGCTTCAGATCAACTATACATGCTCAATGACACCAACACATACTAAAAGTGTATTTGTGTAATACATTACATTCTTAGTGTGAGTGTATTTGTGTAATACATTACATTCTTAGTGTGAGTGTATTGGTGTAATACATAACATTCTTAGTGTGAGTGTATTGGTGTAATACATCACATTCTTAGTGTGAGGGTATTTGTGTAATACATCACATTCTTAGTGTGAGTGTATTGGTGTAATACATCACATTCTTAGTGTGAGGGTATTTGTGTAATACATCACATTCTTAGTGTGAGTGTATTTGTGTAATACATCACATTCTTAGTGTGAGTGTATTTGTGTAATACATCACAGTCTTAGTGCGAGTGTATTTGTGTAATACATCACATTCTTAGTGTGAGTGTATTTGTGTAATACATCACATTCTTAGTGTGAGTGTATTTGTGTAATACATCACATTCTTAATGTGAGTTTATTTGTGTAATACATCACATTCTTAGTGTGAGGGTATTTGTGTAATACATCACATTCTTAATGTGAGTGTATTTGTGTAATACATCACATTCTTAGTGTGAGGGTATTTGTGAGTTGACATAGTGAACATTCCACCCTAACTCTGGGCCATGCAGTCATGTCTAGTGGTGTGTGGTACTTGGGCCATGCAGTCATGTCTAGTGGTGTGTGGTACTTGGGCCATGCAGTCATGTCTAGTGGTGTGTGGTACTTGGGCCATGCAGTCATGTCTAGTGGTGTGTGGTACTTGGGCCATGCAGTCATGTCTAGTGGTGTGTGGTACTTGGGCCATGCAGTCATGTCTAGTGGTGTGTGGTACTTGGGCCATGCAGTCATGTCTAGTGGTGTGTGGTACTTGGGCCATGCAGTCATGTCTAGTGGTGTGTGGTACTTGGGCCATGCAGTCATGTCTAGTGGTGTGTGGTACTTGGGCCATGCAGTCATGTCTAGTGGTGTGTGGTACTTGGGCCATGCAGTCATGTCTAGTGGTGTGTGGTACTTGGGCCATGCAGTCATGTCTAGTGGTGTGTGGTACTTGGGCCATGCAGTCATGTCTAGTGGTGTGTGGTACTTGGGCCATGCAGTGTTCTAAAGAATTGTGATCTCACCTCATCTGATCTCCCACAGTCATGTAGAGCAATGAAAACTTCAGCAGACAACATCACCTCATATTCAAAAGAGTTCTGAAAGAAAGGGGTAGATAATTACATGCAAGAGACAAATCCAAACTTTGCATGAAATAAAGCAGGCGTGATCTCCCTTAAACTTTCCCAAATATTTTTTTACATCATTAAGGGATCTGTGTTTCTCCCAGACTTTTTCTCCAGGGGGCACTTGAAATTTTCGGGGGGGGGGGGGGGGGGGGGAAGAGACACGACTGACACTGTTAAAAGTATATTTCTATATAAATTTCATTTGGTTATATCCCTTGCTAATACCAAACTACTGGTTATATCCCTTGCTAATACTAAAAAGAAAAAGTGTTGCACGCTAATTTTTAATGAAACAATTTTATATTAGGAGCTTTATAGTTATTTATTTTATAATTAAAATAAAAACTTTTTAAAAATAAAACCAAAAAAGGTAAAGATCCTGTATGTCTACAAGTTGCTGTCCCAGTATTCTGCCTCCAGTCATGTCTAGTCTTGTAGACAGCCTCCAGTCATGTCTTGTACCAGAGACAGCCTCCAGTCATGTCTTGTACCTGAGACAGCCTCCAGTCATGTCTTGTACCTGAGACAGCCTCCAGTCATGTCTTGTACCTGAGACAGCCTCCAGTCATGTCTTGTACCAGAGACAGCCTCCAGTCATGTCTAGTCTTGTAGACAGCCTCCAGTCATGTCTTGTACCAGAGACAGCCTCCAGTCATGTCTTGTACCTGAGACAGCCTCCAGTCATGTCTTGTACCTGAGACAGCCTCCAGTCATGTCTTGTACCTGAGACAGCCTCCAGTCATGTCTTGTCTTGTAGACAGCCTCCAGTCATGTCTTGTACCAGAGACAGCCTCCAGTCATGTCTTGTACCTGAGACAGCCTCCAGTCATGTCTTGTCTTGTAGACAGCCTCCAGTCATGTCTTGTACCTGAGACAGCCTCCAGTCATGTCTTGTACCAGAGACAGCCTCCAGTCATGTCTTGTACCTGAGACAGCCTCCAGTCATGTCTAGTCTTGTAGACAGCCTCCAGTCATGTCTTGTACCAGAGACAGCCTCCAGTCATGTCTTGTACCTGAGACAGCCTCCAGTCATGTCTTGTACCTGAGACAGCCTCCAGTCATGTCTTGTACCTGAGACAGCCTCCAGTCATGTCTTGTACCAGAGACAGCCTCCAGTCATGTCTTGTACCTGAGACAGCCTCCAGTCATGTCTAGTCTTGTAGACAGCCTCCAGTCATGTCTTGTACCAGAGACAGCCTCCAGTCATGTCTTGTACCTGAGACAGCCTCCAGTCATGTCTAGTCTTGTAGACAGCCTCCAGTCATGTCTAGTCTTGTAGACAGCCTCCAGTCATGTCTTGTACCAGAGACAGCCTCCAGTCATGTCTTGTACCTGAGACAGCCTCCAGTCATGTCTAGTCTTGTAGACAGCCTCCAGTCATGTCTTGTACCTGAGACAGCCTCCAGTCATGTCTTGTACCTGAGACAGCCTCCAGTCATGTCTTGTACCTGAGACAGCCTCCAGTCATGTCTTGTACCAGAGACAGCCTCCAGTCATGTCTTGTACCTGAGACAGCCTCCAGTCATGTCTAGTCTTGTAGACAGCCTCCAGTCATGTCTTGTACCTGAGACAGCCTCCAGTCATGTCTTGTACCAGAGACAGCCTCCAGTCATGTCTTGTACCAGAGACAGCCTCCAGTCATGTCTTGTACCTGAGACAGCCTCCAGTCCTGTTCCTTTAAGGTACCATCACTCTGGAGTTGTTGTGACAGCCAGTTCAAGCCTTCATCTATCAAATGTTGTTTGTCAACATAGGCCAAGGCTGTTGCATAACAAAGAGTTTTTACCACTGCAGCAGTCAGCCTGAAACCACATGACTGGCTGATTCACTTGAGGGTGAAAGAGGGGGGGTGGGATTAACTTGAGGGTGGGGGGTGATTTACTTGTGGGGGGGGGGGGGGATTTACTTGCGGGTGGTGGGATTTACTTTAGGGTGGGGGATTTACTTTAGGGTAGGGGATTTACTTGAGGGGGAGGGGGACATAAGTCAACTTCAGTCAATTTTATTTATATTTACCAAGTTGCTGGTTGAGAGGTCAAGGTTAGATGAAAATATTCTTCTTGCTTGTACTTGAGAAGTCTTGTAATCCCTGAAAATTTTGAAGCAGTATTTTCAGTTCTTTAGAAATATATCTATATATATATTGAAAGTCTCTTGTATTGAAAGTCTCTTTTATTCAAGGGGGAGGCTCGGATAAAAAAAACTTTTTTACTACTCGTTAGGAAACAATTGTTTCTCTATAGCGGTTTTGAGGTATGTCCGCATGTTTCCATAAAAAAAAAATGGTGGGAAAATTTTGGTAACTATGACAACAGTGGCCATCTTGAAAAATTAAACCCCTCGTAGGTTTTCAACTATTCATAAAATGTTATATTTTAAGCCTAATAAACAATGAAATCATAATCTTCTACCATCTTCTACCCCACCACCACATCTGACAAACCCCACCACCACCACATCTGACAAACCCCACCACCACATCTGACAAACCCCACCACCACCACATCTGACAAACCCCACCACCACATCTGACAAACCCCACCACCACCACATCTGACAAACCCCACCACCACCACATCTGGCAAACCCCACCACCACATCTGACAAACCCCACCACCACCACATCTGGCAAACCCCACCACCACATCTGACAAACCCCACCACCACATCTGACAAACCCCACCACCACATCTGACAAACCCCACCACCACATCTGACAAACCCCACCACCACATCTGACAAACCCCACCACCACCACATCTGACAAACCCCACCACCACCACATCTGACAAACCCCACCACCACCACATCTGACAAACCCCACCACCACCACATCTGACAAACCCCACCACCACCACATCTGACAAACCCCACCACCACATCTGACAAACCCCACCACCACATCTGACAAACCCCACCACCACCACATCTGACAAACCCCACCACCACCACATCTGACAAACCCCACCACCACCACATCTGACAAACCCCACCACCACCACATCTGACAAACCCCACCACCACCACATCTGACAAACCCCACCACCACCACATCTGACAAACCCCACCACCACCACATCTGACAAACCCCACCACCACATCTGACAAACCCCACCACCACCACATCTGACAAACCCCACCACCACCACATCTGACAAACCCCACCACCACCACATCTGACAAACCCCACCACCACATCTGACAAACCCCACCACCACCACATCTGACAAACCCCACCACCACATCTGACAAACCCCACCACCACCACATCTGACAAACCCCACCACCACATCTGACAAACCCCACCACCACATCTGACAAACCCCACCACCACCACATCTGACAAACCCCACCACCACCACATCTGACAAACCCCACCACCACCACATCTGACAAACCCCACCACCACCACATCTGACAAACCCCACCTTGTCTCACAAAGCGGTGTCCCCTCTCCCTCAAGTCATCGTCCATGAGTCCTGTTAGATTGGCGTAGAGCAGAGCATGGACAGTGGGACCCATGTCCCCCAGGACCTCCTCAGCACTCAGAACTGGTATGTCCATCAAACTCTTGGAGCGCACCACAGCATGGGTGATTATGTCTCCCATTAAGTCACCTGCCAAAACCAATCATTAAGTCACCTGATGAAAGGAAACATTAAGTCACCTGACTTAAGGAAACATTAAGTCACCTGACTAAAGGAAACATTAAGTCACCTGACTAAAGGAAACATTAAGTCACCTGACTTAAGGAAACATTAAGTCACCTGACTAAAGGAAACATTAAGTCACCTGACTAAAGGAAACATTAAGCCACCTGACTAAAGGAAACATTAAGTCACCTGACTAAAGGAAACATTAAGTCACCTGACTAAAGGAAACATTAAGTCACCTGACTAAAGGAAACATTAAGTCACCTGACTAAAGGAAACATTAAGTCACCTGACTAAAGGAAACATTAAGTCACCTGACTAAAGGAAACATTAGGTCACCTGACTAAAGGAAACATTAAGTCACCTGACTAAAGGAAACATTAAGTCACCTGACTAAAGGAAACATTAAGTCACCTGACTAAAGGAAACATTAAGTCACCTGACTAAAGGAAACATTAAGTCACCTGACTAAAGGAAACATTAAGTCACCTGACTAAAGGAAACATTAGGTCACCTGACTAAAGGAAACATTAAGTCACCTGACTAAAGGAAACATTAAGTCACCTGACTAAAGGAAACATTAAGTCACCTGACTAAAGGAAACATTAAGTCACCTGACTAAAGGAAACATTAAGTCACCTGACTAAAGGAAACATTAAGTCACCTGACTAAAGGAAACATTAGGTCACCTGACTAAAGGAAACATTAAGTCACCTGACTAAAGGAAACATTAAGTCACCTGACTAAAGGAAACATTAAGTCACCTGACTAAAGGAAACATTAAGTCACCTGACTAAAGGAAACATTAAGTCACCTGACTAAAGGAAACATTAAGTCACCTGACTAAAGGAAACATTAAGTCACCTGACTAAAGGAAACATTAAGTCACCTGACTAAAGGAAACATTAAGTCACCTGACTAAAGGAAACATTAAGTCACCTGACTAAAGGAAACATTAAGTCACCTGACTAAAGGAAACATTAAGTCACCTGACTAAAGGAAACATTAGGTCACCTGACTAAAGGAAACATTAAGTCACCTGACTAAAGGAAACATTAAGTCACCTGACTAAAGGAAACATTAAGTCACCTGACTAAAGGAAACATTAAGTCACCTGACTAAAGGAAACATTAAGTCACCTGACTAAAGGAAACATCAAGTCACCTGCCGAAACCAATCATTAAGTCACCTGATGAAAGGAAACATTAAGTCACCTGACTAAAGGAAACATTAAGTCACCTGACTAAAGGAAACATTAAGTCACCTGACTAAAGGAAACATTAAGTCACCTGACTAAAGGAAACATCAAGTCACCTGCCGAAACCAATCATTAAGTCACCTGATGAAAGGAAACATTAAGTCACCTGACTAAAGGAAACATTAAGTCACCTGACTAAAGGAAACATTAAGTCACCTGACTAAAGGAAACATTAAGTCACCTGACTAAAAGTTCAACTCTACCACTTTGTATAACTAATAGAAAGTAAAATAGAAAGAAAAGTTCACAGGCCAAGCTAAAAAAAAAACCTTTGTATGAAATTTGGACCTAACTGAAACAGTACTCAAAGTATTTGTCTTTTTAAAACCAGAAATAATGTGGAGGTCACTCAATCAATTCTTTATTAATTCTATAGGAAATCTCAGCAACATAGCTGAAACAGTACTCAAGTTTGATTCCCACAAAGTACATTAAAATACCACTTGCATTTATTGAAAATGGTTCAATTGTTGCTATAAACTGTGTGTTAGTGTAATACTTCTATGTCAAATTTTGTCCATATAACTTGAACTGTGTGTTAGTGTAATACTTCTATGTCAAATTTTGTCCATATAACTTTAACTGTGTGTTAGTGTAATACTTCTATGTCAAATTTTGTCCATATAACTTTAACTGTGTGTTAGTGTAATACTTCTATGTCAAATTTTGTCCATATAACTTGAACTGTGTGTTAGTGTAATACTTCTATGTCAAATTTTGTCCATATAACTTTAACTGTGTGTTAGTGTAATACTTCTATGTCAAATTTTGTCCATATAACTTGAACTGTGTGTTAGTGTAATACTTCTATGTCAAATTTTGTCCATATAACTTGAACTGTGTGTTAGTGTAATACTTCTTTGTCAAATTTTGTCCATATAACTTGAACTGTGTGTTGATGTAATACTTCTATGTCAAATTTTGTCCACATAACTTGAACTGTGTGTTAGTGTAATACTTCTATGTCAAATTTTGTCCATATAACTTGAACTGTGTTAGTGTAATACTTCTATGTCAAATTTTGTCCATATAACTTGAACTGTGTGTTAGTGTAATACTTCTATGTCAAATTTTGTCCATATAACTTTAACTGTGTGTTAGTGTAATACTTCTATGTCAAATTTTGTCCATATAACTTGAACTGTGTGTTAGTGTAATACTTCTATGTCAAATTTTGTCCATATAACTTGAACTGTGTGTTAGTGTAATACTTCTATGTCAAATTTTGTCCATATAACTTTAACTGTGTGTTAGTGTAATACTTCTATGTCAAATTTTGTCCATATAACTTTAACTGTGTGTTAGTGTAATACTTCTATGTCAAATTTTGTCCATATAACTTGAACTGTGTGTTAGTGTAATACTTCTATGTCAAATTTTGTCCATATAACTTTAACTGTGTGTTAGTGTAATACTTCTATGTCAAATTTTGTCCATATAACTTGAACTGTGTGTTAGTGTAATACTTCTATGTCAAATTTTGTCCATATAACTTGAACTGTGTGTTAGTGTAATACTTCTATGTCAAATTTTGTCCATATAACTTGAACTGTGTGTTAGTGTAATACTTCTATGTCAAATTTTGTCCATATAACTTGAACTGTGTGTTAGTGTAATACTTCTATGTCAAATTTTGTCCATATAACTTGAACTGTGTTAGTGTAATACTTCTATGTCAAATTTTGTCCATATAACTTGAACTGTGTGTTAGTGTAATACTTCTATGTCAAATTTTGTCCATATAACTTGAACTGTGTGTTAGTGTAATACTTCTATGTCAAATTTTGTCCATATAACTTGAACTGTGTTAGTGTAATACTTCTATGTCAAATTTTGTCCATATAACTTGAACTGTGTGTTAGTGTAATACTTCTATGTCAAATTTTGTCCATATAACTTGAACTGTGTGTTAGTGTAATACTTCTATGTCAAATTTTGTCCATATAACTTTAACTGTGTGTTAGTGTAATACTTCTATGTCAAATTTTGTCCATATAACTTGAACTGTGTTAGTGTAATACTTCTATGTCAAATTTTGTCCATATAACTTGAACTGTGTTAGTGTAATACTTCTATGTCAAATTTTGTCCATATAACTTGAACTGTGTGTTAGTGTAATACTTCTATGTCAAATTTTGTCCATATAACTTTAACTGTGTGTTAGTGTAATACTTCTATGTCAAATTTTGTCCATATAACTTGAACTGTGTTAGTGTAATACTTCTATGTCAAATTTTGTCCATATAACTTGAACTGTGTGTTAGTGTAATACTTCTATGTCAAATTTTGTCCATATAACTTTAACTGTGTGTTAGTGTAATACTTCTATGTCAAATTTTGTCCATATAACTTGAACTGTGTTAGTGTAATACTTCTATGTCAAATTTTGTCCATATAACTTGAACTGTGTGTTAGTGATTGACTTTGTACTGACAGAGTAAGTACAACGTTCTTTAAATGACATTTTTAAAGCTTCTCCGTTCCGCTTCTCTTTAAATGACATTTTTAAAGCTTCTCCGTTCCGCTTCTCTTTAAATGACATTTTTAAAGCTTCTCCGTTCCGCTTCAATCCATTTTAAAAAGTTTCTAGAACCATCAGCTTGTGTATGAGGGGGGTTTATGTGCATGTACTAATGCAGGAATCTGACTTTCATTAGTGATAGCACAGATACTGCGATCTGACAAAACTCACCAAAATCTGCTACGCGACAAAACTCACCAAAAGCTGCGATGTAACAACTCACCAAAAGCTGCGATGTAACAACTCACCAAAAGCTGCGATGCGACAACTCACCAAAAGCTGCGATGTGACAAAACTCACCAAAAGCTGCGATGTAACAACTCACCAAAAGCTGCGATGTAACAACTCACCAAAAGCTGCGATGTAACAACTCACCAAAAGCTGCGATGTGACAACTCACCAAAAGCTGCGATGGGACAAAACTCACCAAAAGCTGCGATGTAACAACTCACCAAAAGCTGCGATGTAACAACTCACCAAAAGCTGCTACGCGACAAAACTCACCAAAAGCTGCGATGTAACAACTCACCAAAAGCTGCTACGCGACAAAACTCACCAAAAGCTGCGATGTAACAACTCACCAAAAGCTGCGATGTAACAACTCACCAAAAGCTGCGATGTAACAACTCACCAAAAGCTGCGATGTAACAACTCACCAAAAGCTGCGATGTAACAACTCACCAAAAGCTGCGATGTAACAACTCACCAAAAGCTGCGATGTAACAACTCACCAAAAGCTGCGATGCGACAAAACTCACCAAAAGCTGCTGTTATGGTTAGCTTTCCATTTCATAGTGGAACAAGGTATAACACAATTTAAAACACAGTTCAAATGTCATAATCCAATATAATTTTCAACTACAACAGAGAAACCGTGAACATTGACGAAAACACTGACTACATGCTACCCTAAGTGGACGATACCACACACTGCTTACACACTAGAGTTCACACACTTGTCAGGGGAGGCGACTCTCACACCCAATCTCTCCGTGCCTACACGCTTTCGCTATGAACATCTAGGCCACGTCACACTGCGATGTAACAACTCACCAAAAGCTGCGATGTAACAACTCACCAAAAGCTGCGATGTAACAACTCACCAAAAGCTGCGATGTAACAACTCACCAAAAGCTGCGATGTAACAACTCACCAAAAGCTGCGATGTAACAACTCACCAAAAGCTGCGATGTGACAAAACTCACCAAAAGCTGCGATGTAACAACTCACCAAAAGCTGCGATGTAACAACTCACCAAAAGCTGCAATGTAACAACTCACCAAAAGCTGCGATGTGACAACTCACCAAAAGCTGCGATGGGACAAAACTCACCAAAAGCTGCGATGTAACAACTCACCAAAAGCTGCTACGCGACAAAACTCACCAAAAGCTGCTACGCGACAAAACTCACCAAAAGCTGCGATGTAACAACTCACCAAAAGCTGCGATGTAACAACTCACCAAAAGCTGCGATGTAACAACTCACCAAAAGCTGCGATGTAACAACTCACCAAAAACTGCGATGTAACAACTCACCAAAAACTGCGATGTAACAACTCACCAAAAGCTGCGATGTAACAACTCACCAAAAGCTGCGATGTAACAACTCACCAAAAGCTGCGATGCGACAAAACTCAGTTCCTCTGATGACCTCTTGGGGCAGCGCCAAGTCTATAGTTGTGTGCTGATATTTCTTCATTTTATCAAACACGTCTGTCAGAAGAAATATTTTATTAATTCAATAGGCTGTGTCTCCAATGTTTGGGTGCCGTACAAAATGTGTCCAAAAACTGGCTAAATTGTAAAACTTACTGCTGATTGTGGATGTATTGTTGAAGCTGATTTGATTTTGTTGCATTCCTTTAAAAGTGACATGCTTTGCTTCAGGATCTAAGACAAATGTGATAGACTTTCGGACCCTTTGACCTTCAGCCTAGCAGAGATATAAATCATCCGAAACAAAACTCATTGTAATTAATAGATCAAAAGTCATGTCATTAAGTCAAGTACATGACTTTTGAAACAAACAAAATGTATAAGAATCAAAGACTAGTGGTGTTCATTATGTGGCTAATGGGACATTTGATTGGACACAGAGGACCCAACTACTGGACACAGGGGACCCAACTACTGGACACAGGGGACCCAACTACTGGACACAGGGGACCCAACTACTGGACACAGGGGACCCAACTACTGGACACAGGGGACCCAACTACTGGACACAGGGGACCCAACTACTGGACACAGGGGACCCAACTACTGGACACAGGGGACCCAACTACTGGACACAGGGGACCAAGGCTACTACTGGATACAGGGGACCCAACTACTGGACACAGGGGACCTAACTACTGGACACAGCCTTTTCCCCCCTCTCCCACACTGCAGCATTGCGCAGACTAGCAGTACTTCGGCGCTTTGCAATGGTTGAGGTAATGAATAATATAAATCTGTGTGAATCAATCCAAACTAAAGGCAAAATAAATTTGCAACTTACAACAACATAGAGAGTTCTCTCCACAATATCTCGTTCGTGCTCATTAGCCAAATCTACTCTCAAAGTGAGCTCCCCATTTTTGAGTGGTATCACCTATACAGAGATGGTTTAACAGTAAGAAATACAGAAATATTTACATACAATCATATGTTAAAGTGTAGGACTAAAAGATAATATTAGAATGAAGTTAGATCAGTTCTTACTTTAACTGTTCGGCTAGTTGTCCCAATAGCTCCAATTTCCAAGTCAAAACTTGTGCTGTTCTGGTTAGTTCCCCTGGCGGAGTTGGCAGAAAAACACAAACCACTTTTGCTGGAGACAACAACTCTGACCTGTCCAAGTTGGTTTCATTAGATCCATTAGTCGTTAACACATCTAATTAGATCCATTAGTCGTTAACACATCTAATTAGATCCATTAGTCGTTAACACATCTAATTAGATCCATTAGTCGTTAACACATCTAATTAGATCCATTAGTCGTTAACACGTCTAATTAGATCCATTAGTCGTTAACATGTCTAATTAGATCCATGAGTCGTTAACATGTCTAATTAGATCCATGAGTCGTTAACACGTCTAATTAGATCCATGAGTCGTTAACATGTCTAATTAGATCCATTAGTCGTTAACACATCTAATTAGATCCATTAGTCGTTAACACGTCTAATTAGATCCATTAGTCGTTAACATGTCTAATTAGATCCATGAGTCGTTAACATGTCTAATTAGATCCATGAGTTGTTAACATGTCTAATTAGATCCATTAGTGGTTAACATGTCTAATTTGATCCATTAGTAGACTTCATGCATTGAATGTACTAGAACCACAGAACTTGATGAAAAAAACCTTAATGGCATACAACTGATAAAAAAACCTTAATGGCATACAACTGATAAAAAAAACCTTAATGGCATACAACTGATGAAAAAACCTTAATGGCATACAACTGATGAAAAAACCTTAATGGCATACAACTGATGAAAAAACCTTAATGGCATACAACTGATGAAAAAACCTTAATGGCATACAACTGATGAAAAAACCTTAATGGCATACAACTGATGAGAAAACCTTAATGGCATACAACTGATGAAAAAACCTTAATGGCATACAACTGATGACAGAAACCTTAATGGCATACAACTGATGAAAAAACCTTAATGGCATACAACTGATGAAAAAACCTTAATGGCATACAACTGATGAAAAAACCTTAATGGCATACAACTGATGACAGAAACCTTCACCCAGACAATGGAAGATGAAAAACTTCGCCAAAAAAACAAAAAAAACCTGATTATACATACACACCTTAATTTTTTACTATAGTAGTTATAATCAGGGAGCTATAAAACAGCACATAAAACAAAGTCAATGTTTGATGCAAACTTTTTTATAAATAATTTTACACAAATAATTTTGATTAAAAATCGAGGGCTGCAGTGGGGGTATCTGGAGGTAACTTTGAAATTTTCTAAAAAATTTTAATAGTTTGGAATGCTAAGGTT